CTAGAAGCTGGAGTGCGGGTCCTTGTCTGGTCCTTGTGCTCCGACTCGCGCTCGAGAGGACATCCAACTAGCGCTCGAGAGGACATCCAACTAGCGCTCGAGAGGACATCCAACTAGCGCTCGAGAGGACATCCAACTAGCGCTCGAGAGGACATCCAACTAGCGCTCGAGAGGACATCCAACTAGCGCTCGAGAGGACATCCAACTAGCGCTCGAGAGGACATCCAACTAGCGCTCGAGAGGACATCCAACTAGCGCTCGAGAGGACATCCAACTAGCGCTCGAGAGGACATCCAACTAGCGCTCGAGAGGACATCCAACTAGCGCTCGAGAGGACATCCAACTAGCGCTCGAGAGGACATCCAACTAGCGCTCGAGAGGACATCCAACTAGCGCTCGAGAGGACATCCAACTAGCGCTCGAGAGGACGTCCAACTAGCGCTCGAGAGGACATCCAACTAGCGCTCGAGAGGACATCCAACTAGCGCTCGAGAGGACATCCAACTAGCGCTCGAGAGGACATCCAACTAGCGCTCGAGAGGACATCCAACTAGCGCTCGAGAGGACATCCAACTAGCGCTCGAGAGGACATCCAACTAGCGCTCGAGAGGACATCCAACTAGCGCTCGAGAGGACATCCAACTAGCGCTCGAGAGGACGCGCACTGCTCTGCCGTGTCCCAGCGGGGACTCGCTGCATTCGCCGCCTTCCCGCCCCGACCTCGGCTGTACCTCGTGCCGCAGGACCTCGGCTTCTACCTCGCAAACTACTCCGCGGTCGGCTGCATGGCCTGGGGCTACAAGCAGGCGCGGCATCGCCGCCACCGCCAGATCCGGGACCCCCCCCCCCAAACCTCCACCCCCCGCCCCCCGCCCTTCCTTCACAGGGCTGCCGCTTCGTCACCACGCGCTGCGGCGCCTACCCGACCCTCCCCCCGCCCGCCTTTGTCTACGACTCGCCGCCTGCAGAGTGGCCACCGCCAGTGCCTACAGACCCCGCCCTCTCCCTCTCCCTCTGCGCCGGGCCGGTCTTTTGGCGGAGCCAGGGCAGCGACGCTCAGACGACGATCCTGCGCGACAAGTGCGCCGCCGGCGTCGACCCTTGCAGCTACTCGCCCAACGGTAGCGCGGGCTAGTGGCGGTAGTTGGCTCGCGGCCCGCCGTCTGCCGTTGCGCCTCGTGTGGAGACTGGTAGGAGGCTGCGGCTAGTTGGTCAGCGAGCCACGGGGCTTCTTCCCTTCCATGCACCTCCTCCTCCGCCGCCCCGCAGGCTACTCTGGCGGCCGCTGCAGCGTGCAGTGCTACACGGGCGGGGCGGTGAACCGGACCGACTGCACGCGCGAGCCCGCCGGCGCCGTCGTCACTGGAGGCTCGGGCGGCTAGGAGAGGGACAGAGGGCAGGGGGCAGTGGGGCGCAGGCAGGCAGGCCGTGAAGGCACGTCTCTTCTCCAGCTCTGCTCCAAACGACGCGCACTCGAGAGGACGCGCACTCACCCGGGCTCCGTTGCCTTCCGCTCCCTTCCGCTGCTCGCCTCCATATGGCTCACGCCGTATCCATCTGCTCCCCCACCGCAGGCTTGAGCGAGTGGGCGGGTGTGCCGAAAGACCAGTGGCTGCAGTGGCTGTTGCTCGGGTTGGTTGGCCTCGGCGCCGACACAGCTGCCGCCTTTGCCTCCAGTCCGAGAGCTTCCGATCACCCCGCGGGCCCCTGGGAGGTAGGCCTGATCTTGCTTCTCTCGTGCGTGCGCGACCTGCTCTGCCCCACCGGCGGCTCGAGCCCCGCCCTGACGTCCCTCCCCTTAACACTATCTAACCAGGTTCTCTTCTATCAGGCGGCTCGGTCCCCGTCCTGACGTCGCTCTCTTTCGCGCTCGGCCTCACCGGACTCTCTCTCGCCGCCGCGGCCGTCTACATCGGCTGGTGCGGCGGCGGCGCCGCCGCGGGTGTGTGACGTGGACGGCGCCTCTTCACCCCCCCCCCCCCCCGGGAAGGCAGTATCTCCCGTGAGCCGGGTCGACGGCGTGTTTGGTGCCCCCATCTTTGTCGGCCTTCTCGGGCAGAACGCGGGCATCGCTATCACGGCG